TTTCTGTGGATGCTTCGCTCTCCATAGCCACACAAGGAGCACAGGTACCTAACTTTCAGATGGTTAAAATTTTCAGTTAAATTCCTCTCCAGCACCTACTCAATTAGACCTCAAAACAGGTATCTTTGCTGTATTTTACTGTTGAGCAATCACTTCAGGACATGACAAGGATTGCAGGACTCAAAGTGTGCCGAAAAGCACACCAACCACATCTTGTGCAACAGACCTGGGCTAAGAGAGATGAGTCTGTCTTTATTTTTGGTTTCCATGATGCCTTTATAATTTCCTATTAGAATTGTTAGAATTTGATGGTAAGCATGAAAAATCAAAAGTCTTAAACCATGACTTGAGGCCAAACTGTGACAAAGCACAGAAACCAGTCATTTTCCTAGACAACTCAGTCTGGGGTCCCGAAATCCCTGAGCATGGGGTTAAAGGGATGGCAGAGGAAAAGAGAGGAGAGGAAAAGAAAAACTCTGTTAAAACTGGTCACATGAACTGAGAGTGGGTCAAATGAAAAAAAAAAAATGCCTTCATCTTTGAATTTATCCTTAATTTTTCTTTAATTTGAACCAACAGATATGACCTAGGGAAGTAGTTCCACCAAAAGATTTGCCCTGTGGAGCAAAATAGAGTAATACACCACTTTGGTGAGACAGAAAGTCCTGCTCTCACAAGTAAAACCTCTTCTGACACCCCAGAGAATGGGAATGTACCCAGCTACCAACATCCACGAACATATCTACTTATGCACCCACGCACCATATACAAAATGAAATCAATGAGTTATTATATAAATGAAAGTGTTTCATTAAATATGTTTCCCTGTTTATAACTGATAGGAGCATCTAAAATAAATATTACAAAATTACTGAACAGAACTGATTTTTATGACAATTGAATAAATGCTATGGTAGTTACAGAGATGATGCTGAAGTCGATGTGAACACACGTACTTTCCTCCCACAAGAAAAATAATAAAAGCATTACATAATATCTGCTTTGTCCATTTGTCTCCAAATTGTCACTTGCTAGGATCTGAATAAAGTGAGAAGAAATCTAAACAAGAACAGATTAAAGAAAATTCTCCTGTAAATACCTGTTACGCTCTTGCTTATTATAACCATTTTCAAGTTGCGTCTCTCATCTCTTTCAGAATACGTGAACTCCTGCATCTAACGCAACACTAAAAATGCATAAAAACAGAGCTTTTTTTCCACCAGTAAAATACTGTAAAATAATAGCAATCCAAGCAATGCATCCACCAGGCTTTGGAAGTCAGTGGGAGTCATCCCACTGGGTCCATCAGGGACTGGCTCAGGGCCTGAAGAAGTGCAGCTGGTTGGAAGTCTACATCCACATCCTGGGAAACATTCCCCAAGACCCAGATCGAACTGTCCCCTTCCTCTAACATGAAACTCATGATTACCTCCCTGCTGAAGATAATAACAGCATCTGCTTAAAAGCTTTGAAATGGAGACCAGGATAAACAATGCAGAGCTCACTGGATAAACAGAAGAGTTTCTATGACTGAAAGACTTGAAATGAAGTCTTCCAGGGCAAAATGTGGGACACATCACAGCTGTTATACAGAGCCATGTCAAGAGTGCTTCTGAGTACTTGTTCTTCCAGTATACTCCAGTGAACTGAGCTTCAAAAAAAGAAGGCAAGCAAAGCTGAAAATTACTTTTATTACCTGAAAACACATTAAACAGAGCTCCTTCTGGGCTTGTAACGCTCCCAAGGGCTGATGAGAAGGTCTTGGCACTGGGGATGGGACAGCCAGCTTGCCCTGCGGGTTTGCTGTTTGTAACTGCTGGAGTGGATTTACCTCCAGAGCTTTCCCCCCGAAGGTCTTGCTTTATCAGGTATATCCTCCAGACATGTACTTGTACATGAATTTGTACTGAATTACTTGAAGAAGCCTCCATCATCCACATGTCCATCATCCACACATCATGGCAACCACCTCAAACCAGGATGTTGTAATAACCATGCTGGACTCTGCATGGACGTACAAAAAAGATGATGTACACTGACAAAAAGAGGATATAAACTAAATGGCTAAGATGGAGGATCCTAGCGGCCAGAAAACAAAAACTTTTCTAGTTCTCACAGCAAATCAGTGACAGAAAAGGGGAAAGAAGCCACTTTGCCTGCTCCTTATTCATGAAGACCATTGCTCCACTGTTTGTATAGCGGTTCGTGTATGCAGGTTCACAGGGCACTCTGCGAATCAGCTCTTACTAAGTTTATTATTCATGTTTCCTCTCTGCCGTTCAAGATCATCAAGGCCTGCAACACCACACAGGCCAATCTTTAGTCCAAGCTATGCGAAAATCTTGCATATTATCAACTTTCTCACCCATCCTTGTTGCTCTCTGAGGAACTATTCTTAGTCAACCATTTCTATGAGCCACACTGCTGCCATCCTCCCAAGCTGTCCCAACCCGCTGTCCCAAGAGCAACAGGCTGGGGAATATCACAGCAAGTTTTCACAACCTTTGTTTTCTTTAATTTACAACTGTACTGAGCAATCTTTTCTTGTGTTTTTAATGTTTGCAATGGATAGCAAAGACATATCCCAGCAAAGTTGTGGTAGCCACAATATACCACGCCCAGCCTGTGTGCGTACACCTGATAAACTGCAGCAACCCAAAATCCCTGCAATAGTTTTGTGCAGCTGCTCTCTGCATTTTCCCCGGCATTGACCCCTCCTCTCTCTCACCACTCATGCTGCGAGGGCCCAGGACACAGTACCGCCAGCTCTATCAGCCCTGATAATGACCTGTGCCTGGTGGCATCTCCATTTACAGGACAGACTTGGGGCCCTGTCCATATATCCTACATTCTGCCCTTCCATGTCTTTCATCTTCTACCTTTTTGCAATTGTCATGGTTTAACTCCAGCCAGCAACTATCTACCACCCAGCCGCTCGCTCACTCCCCCCCAGTGGGATGGGAGAGAGAATCAGAAGAGTAAAAGTGAGAAAACTCGTGGGTTGAGATAAAGACAGTTTAATGGGTAAAGCAAGAGCTGCGCATGCAAACAAAGCAAAGCAAGGAATTCATTCACTCCTTCCCATCGGCAGGCAGGTGCTCAGCCATCCCCAGGAGAGCAGGGCTCCATCACGCATAACGGTGACTTGGGAAGACAAACGCCGTCACTCCCAATGTCCCCCCCTTCCTTCTTCTTCCCCCAGTTTATACTGGGCGCATGACGCCATACAGTATGGACTAGCCCTTGGGCCAGTCTGGGCCAGCTGGCCTGGCTGTGCCCCCTCCCAGCTCCTTGTGCACCGGGCAGAGCACGGGGAGCTGAAAAGTCCTTGACTGGCATAAACTCTACTCAGCAAGAACCGAAACATCAGTGTGTTATCAACATTGTTCTCATCCTAAATCCAAAACACAGCACTCTACCAGCTACTAAGAAGAAAATTAACTCTATCCCAGCTGAAACCAGGACAGCAACATTGACCTTATGTAAATCACCTTTTCTGTGCAGCTAAAATTAACTGCCTATAATGACGACAGCTTGTTACAGGAGATCTGAAAGAGAAGCTGCGTGTCAGCAGGAGTAGTCCTAGTCATGATAACCACAAAAGCCATCATCAGAGTAGCCATGATCCTAGTAATAATGACATGAATAAAAATTCTTGTGTCAGCAAGGGCTCCCTAGTGCTACCACAGCTATAAAGTAACACAGCTCGTGCAGGCTGGTCCAGCCCATTCGTACAGGAGCCAGTCTTCCCTACAACAATCCACGTGCTTTAAAACTGCCATCAGTAGGACACTAATACACCTGTGATCCTTTTATTCTCTACAGGGAAAGACAGACCTCTCCGGAGGATGATCTAAGATCCAAGACGTTTTCTGCAATCTCTAGAGACATAGCCAAAGACACCTCTGCTCCCAATTTAGATACATCAGTGCAGGTGGGATGAAGCCAGCCCTAATGCAGACGAACCCACAAGCAGGAGAAGCCCAAGCGAGAAGGCTCCAGCTTGCCTGCAGGCTTGTCTCAGGAGGCTCTTGGTGTCATTAATCCACGTGACTGCTGGCTGGGACAGAAGCATGCTTTGATAAAAAGCTGTGCCGGCACACCAGTAAATAGCTTTGATGAAAGTGCTGCAGATACCACAACATGTAATCAAGTGCATAAATAATTTGTTATACAACAGACCTTGGAAAAAACAAATCAGTTGATTATTAGTAATAACTATGTATATTGCAGCATCTTATCCCCGGAGGCCCTAAAAGAGGTCAGTTGTGCTGAGCACAGAACACTGTTAAAAAGCAAAGCTGCCATAATATTTGGGCATCTGAAACCAGAATAAATGAGGGCTGCACAAGCCACTTTATAAAAAAGTAAAAATAAGTACCAACAATACAACAGACACATGAAAGTCATTTAGTGAACATCTTTATCAGATACACAGCAACAAAGAATAGCTCATTATTTCCCATAAACCATATCAAACCAGACTTTTCATTTTCCAATAATAAACGCTGAGCATTTCCAAGATAATTGATTTCCCCTTATGCTTTCCTTCCCATTCCTGATGCTGATGGTTCGCATTCAGAGTCAGAGCAGACTATGCAGCTCTGCATGCACATCAGCTAAGACAGAACAGCTCCTTCTATCATTTTTTTCTTCTTGTTTTACATGGTATCAACAAATGAGATCAGCATCAGATCTGCATTCACAGAAACATGTCCTCTTATCTCATGTGCTCGTTCCTGGGTCAAGAAATTTAAAGCTAGGCATTGGGAAAATAACGATTGCCTCACTTTTTTTTTTTAATAAAAATGGGACTCCTATGTCATTTTTACTTCTATATTCACATTAAAATCACGGATTCAGGGAACTACAGAGCCAAACAACACAGCATCAAAAATGTAACAACCATAAGACTCTTGCTGCTGTGTATTTAGGGAAGAAATAAATCAACTTCTTTTTCTCAACAAAACCACATGGAAAGAAAATAAGGGTCTACTTACACTGTACAATGAGCTGTACCAAAGCTTCTCTGGGTTTCACGTTAAACCCGTTGTATTGGCTGGTTTGGCACCTGTAGGTTCCCGTCATCTCCCTGGACATGTTCACTATCCTCAGGATCCCATCGTAGCTCTCTGTTTGCATCGCCCCGTCTGGCATCGCGACCTCCTTGTCTGCTCGGGACCAGAGAATGATGGGCTTGGGCTTCCCTGTCACCTGGCACTGCAGCTCGATCGTGTCCCCTTCCCGGGTGACCAGGGGTGACTTTTCTTGAGGAACAGTCAAATTGGGTGGGACTTCAAAGGAGAAAAAGAGACAGTTCTACAATTAGCGTTACAGAAACATCAGGTGGCTTTCTTGCTTGTACATTCATAATTATATACAAAGAATTAATTTATACAGACAGCAACGCATAGCGACTGAATATATTGGAAGACTGTGTAATGCTACTATGTTTATGAGATAAGGTGCACAGCTGCTTGAAGTGGTTAAAATAAGATTTAACAGCCCCAGCTATGACACTTATTTGCCTCCCTGCGCATCTCTGACATGCCAATACGCCGTACCAGTGTCACATCAGCGTGTCCGGACCACCAGTTGCAGCTAGCACTTTATCACTGCAAGTTATGGCTTTCCTTTTTATGAGTATTTGGCACTAAAACCCCTTTTTTATAACAGACTGGCTGCTGATTTTATCCAGCTCGTAATGGCCGTGCAATGAGGAATAATCCTGCCAATTCAGAAATCTGCTCAGAATTCAAGACCTGAAACTGAAATGCAGTTGGCGTCTTTCTGTTGTAGGTTTATCAAGGTGGTAGAGATTTGCATTAACAAATCTGGAAGAAATATGTGAACAACCGTTTCCAGCAGGAGTTAGCCTCTTGGAGCAGGAATACCTGGCGCTGCTACACAGCGAGCTAGTGATGCCCAAGGACCCATCCTTCCTCCTCTCCGCAGTCTAACAAGAGCGAGACTTTCTAATTGCCCCCAGTGCCTCTCCAAATTATCAGCCACAGCTCTGAATCACCAGTCCTCAGCAGCAAGGAGAAGAATGAGCTTGCCACAGAAGAGATGCTGATGTGCAAGGTGCTTGATCAGGACAGAAATGCCACAGCATCCCTGGCAAAGGCATCGGTGTTTGCACGATACGCATCCCAGTCAGTCCCATCAGAGGCGGCCTCTCTGCCTCAGTCATTTAGGTGACAGCATTTGATAATTACAAAGCCCTGCAAGCTCCGCTGGCCTGACAAGAACAGTTTTGCCATGTCCAATTATTGTTCCCACCTCATCACACCTGTGTTGGGTTTATAGCCAATCTCTTACTCCTCTCTTAGCAGAACACAAACAAAAGCTCTGTCTCTGAAGCTGCCTGTGATCTCCAGATCACACACGGTGCCTTCGGCACCGCGGACCCTTGCTTAGGGGGAGGGAACGGGCTGCTATGTGGTGGGTGAAGATATGGAAAAGCCTGATTTAAACACTGCCCACCCTCTCTTTCCTTTTGTGCCTTCTGAAAACTTGGCTGCCCTTATGGGTCTTCTGTTCTGAAACATGTAGAGAGATGCTTTCTGTTTTAACAGTCCCTCCTAGGAGCATTACCTCTCCGTGCTGTCCTGCCCTCAACTACTTTGCTTGAATGCCAGGACTGACAAAATACAGCCTGCACCATAACTCCTGTCCGCAGGAAAAAATAACCAAAGGCTATTTTCAGGCCCCCAGAGACAGAAACAACAGACTTGTACCAGTGAGAAAGAGTTCCAGTTTTCCCCTGGGATCTACCCTGTGTCTATGGACATGACAAGACTGCTAGGAATCAGAGTTTAAATCAGGGACTTTCATAGGTACCAAAATGTTGTTTTCAGCTGTTTCAAAGGCTTTAATAGCTCCTTCTAAATCCGGTGGGACATTATCCTGGTTTCAGCTGGGACAGAGTTAATTGTCTTCCTAGTAGCTGGCATAGTGCTGTGCTTTGGATTTAGGATGAGAACAATGTTGATAGCACACGGATGTTTCAGTTGTTGCTCAGCAGTGCTTACAGCAGTCAAGGACTTTTCAGCTTCCCATGCTCTGCCCGGTGCACAAGGAGCTGGGAGGGGGCACAGCCAGGACAGCTGGCCCAGACTGGCCAAAGGGCTACTCCATACCGTATGGCATCATGCCCAGTGTGTAAACTGGCGGAGTTGGCTGGGGGGCAGCGATCGCTGCTCGGGGATGGGCTGGGCATCGGTCAGCGGGTGGTGAGTGGTTGCGTCATGCATCACTTGCTTTGTATATTCCATTATTATTATTATTATTTTACTTTATTTTATTTCAATGATTAAAATGTTCTTATCTCAACCCGGGGGTCAGCGATCGCTGCTCGGGGATGGGCTGGGCATCGGTCAGCGGGTGGTGAGTGGTTGCGTCATGCATCACTTGCTTTGTATATTCCATTATTATTATTATTATTTTACTTTATTTTATTTCAATGATTAAAATGTTCTTATCTCAACCCATGAATTTTCTTACTTTTACTCTTCCAATTCTCTCCCCCATCCCACCAGCATGGGGGGAGCGAGCGAGTGACTGTGTGGTGGTTAGTTGCTGGCAAGGCTTAAATCACGACAGACATGCAGCAGTGGAAATAACTTTTTCCACAGGAGAATAAAGGAAAATTATTTTATACTTCAAAAAAAAAAAAAAAGAAGAAAAAGAAAAAGAAAAAAGAGAAAGACTGCTTAATAAAACATTCCCAACATTAATAAAACATTCTTTTTTTTCACTTATGCTTGTGTGTGCCATACCAGGTCCTCAGCACAGACCGGTGCCCAGGAGACCTGGATCACTTGGAGGGATCCCAGAGAGCCACCCCATGAAGATGCCCAAAAGCCCTGGTGAGGAAGGGCTGCAGGACACGAGATGGTCCACCCCAGCGAAGGGAGGGTGGTACAGAGCCATGACAGCAGTCTTGTCAGAGCTCTACCAGAGCTCAGAGAAAAAATACAGAGGGAAAAGGGTGCTGAAGGCAGCGAAGGACGAGACAGAAGGAGCAGACGAGTGCTGCTCTGGTCCTCTGAGCTGTTCTGACTGCATTTCTCCACCAGCATGTGCCCTTCCCTCTCCCTCATTTCTACATCCCACGCTTTTGCTGTGAAGTACACGGTGCTTGTGCTGGACCTGCATCAGCCAGGTGCTTGCGGTGGGACTCCTCTACCTTCTCTCCTGAAAGCGAGCACATCAAATAGATACCAAATGGCCACTTCCTAAACCAATGCTCTATGAAAACACAGACTAAACTGGGAAAAAGGTATTGTTCCAAGAAGAAAAATACAGTTTAAAGAGAAAGGTTTGAAAGCACACTGTGCACTGCCTGCCTGCAGGAAGGAGCCTCCTTCTGAACGTTTTTTCCAGCTCACCTGGCTTGTGGCTTCTCAGCTTAGTTCAAATAATACACAGCTCTGTCTGGATCAGTAAAAAAAAACATTTACTTTGTCCCTTCTACCCTGGGCAGTGGATCTGCTCCCTGCTGTGAATGTGCTTTGATCAAAGCATGTCCCCGTTGGTACGGATGCTGCAGGCTCCCTCGTAGCTCTCCTCTCACCCCCTGCCCCTCTGGCACCTCCAGCCGCCCCGGGGAAGCACAGCCTCCTCCCGTCTCAGGGATTCACTGACCGTGAGAACGTGAGGCCAAGACCAGGGGGTCACTGCCCTCAAACAAAATACCTGCTATCAAAAGGGAAAAGGTCTGCTGTCTGCTATGTACCAGCCTACAGCTCTATCTACAGTTCTGCTTGGGACCCCAGACGGGTCCAGGACATGAGTTTTCCCTTTGGTGGTTGTCCGTGTAGACCTATTTCTGGACACATTGTGCTGGCAGCCTGTTCCAGATGCCATCCTTTCCAGACTGCCATCAGAGCAACAGGTCTGGACTATAAAATCACACCCTGTCTTAGCCTCAGAAATCACTCACTTTCTGGCTGGGGCAAGGGCTGTAACTTCTCATCTCAAGCACTGAGCCAGGAGCAAGACTTGCCTTCGGCACAGCGAGCGGTCCTGTGCAAATACTGCCTGTGAAGGCAACGCATGATGGGAGAGAGACAAAAAAATGAGAGAGGAGGCAGCAAAGCCAGCTTCACATGTGGAGGCTGACCCAACCCTGCACTTGAAACAGGGATGGGATACAAATAAATTGAGCAGCTGTTCCCCAGATATCCACAACGTTCTTCTGGTTTAAGAAACTCCTTCACTAAGCTCATCACGGGAGGAGTAAACAGAGACATGTATTCTGTCCATGAGGTGGACCCAGAGAGGAAGGGGGGCAGAGATGTACGAGTGCAACTCGGGGCTCACGAAGATTTGCTTCCCATGCAGCCATGCTGTGGGGATGCAGGAGGGCACCAGCCCTGAGCTCCAGCTGTGGGAGCCTGCCAGCTGTGAGAAACAGCATCTCAGACCAAGAGGCAGGGGAAATTCAGAAATTTGTACACTCAAAGCAAACTATGAAACATATAAGGAAGAAACCAGGAAAGAATACACCCTGCTTCTCATGGTCACATGTAGCTTCTGGAGGCATTTGAGAGAAAGGAGAGTGAATGGCACAGGACATGCATCGGG